AATTTTGTAATGATAATAAGAAATGATTTGTTATTGAAGATGAAAATTATTTAACGATTGATTGTATAATTAATTCAAATAAGTGTGAAGGTTTTCATCATGTTATTGATATATTGATTTAAATAGAATCGAATTAAACTTTCAGATATTATTTTGTTTGTTAATTCGTAAAATAAACTTAGAACTTGAAATATATTTTTACTTACCCATCGAAAATTTATGGGATCATAGGTTTGATTGTCAAAAGATAATGCAATGTTATTTATCCAATTATGGATAACATAAATACAACTACATAATTAATGAAATTTATATTTGACATGAATAAATTTTTGATAATCAATAAATATTTGTTGTACATAAACATGATAAAGTTTGAAAATAAATTAAATATAATAATGAATATTTTTTGAATGAAAATAGATTTATATTAATAATTTTTTGTAACTTTGACTAATTAAGTATACATAATGATAGTAGTTGTTGAGAGAAATAAAAGTAAAATAAAATAATCTTATTGATATTCTTTGATTTTAAAGATCAAATTCATTTGTTGAAGGTAATATTGATGAAAATAAATTTAAATTTCGGCAAAAGTTCGCTAATTTTTGCCATGATCGACAAACACATGTAAATATATTAAGCATTGTAATGATATTAGAAAAATAAAATGAAAGATAAATGTTATAAAAAAGTAAAACTCGTTGTTGTGACTCAGTTGAGGATATGAATGTTTTTTTTACGAATTCAATCAAATACATTGATGATCATAAACTCATCAAACATAAAAACGATCATACCAATATTCACTGTACACATATAGATCGCATCAACATTTATAGTACATCACAACACTTTCATCTACATATATCTCACATATGATTTTCAGATCTGTCAGTCTGAAAAGTTGACTAATCGAAATCTAAGTAGCAAAAATATTTCATTGACTAAAATCTTTAGAAATATGAAATTCTTTTCACAATAAAAAATATTTGAATGTTAGTCAATATTTAGGTAAAATTTGTTCTTATTCTCGATATATTGATACAATTCTGGAGTTTTTAACAAACAGATAAACTTGATTTTTATAATAATTATCGATTTTCATTTCAATTTTGCTAAAGTAAAGTTAAATATTTAATTTTATTTCGTAAAATAAAGAAAAAGTGCTGATTTTTTTAACACACTTTTATTTGTTGTGATCATTTGGTATTATTCTTATATTATCTTTACATTCGTCTTTTTTTTTTTTAATGAGTTTTAGTTTAAAAAAGAATATTGATGTAATATTATGTCTATTTCTTTAAAACTAAAACATAAGCTCCATACGATGACTATGAATAACTTTTAAAAAAGTTTTCGATAAACTTAAAATAAGAAACACATACGTATTCAATACATATGAGATGAAACTTCTTATAATCATTGAAAATTTTTATAAAACTAATTATCAAAAACATCAAAAAGACTTACTTGATATGTCTTTTTATTCTCAGATATATGTTGATTTGCTTGCTTGTTAGAGATGCTCGTTAAAGTAAGAAAAGAACATTCTATGTAAAATAGTCTCTATTTTTTTTATTATTACACGATCCTTTAGATGAAAGCAGATTGTTAGCGTAACTCAACTATAGAAACAAAAGAGATATTATGTAACCCTTTCAGGTCCATCTTTTTTTACAAAAAAAAAATGAATTTTCACTTATAAAATCAATTATAGTTGACAATTATTAGTCATACTTTTTTTCTTCCAAACTTATTAATAAAGATATTTGATGTTTTTTGTTAAGTAGAATTTAGAGAAAGCTTAAAAGAGTTCGTGTTCATTGTAAAAGTATTCAATTTTCTAATATTTCGCATAACACAACATATTAGAAAATCGAACAATCTGATAATAAACTAACGCCATTGAGAACTGTATACTCGACATTCGTCGGATCGAACCCTTTTAGATTTCTACTAGTCTCACTAATGCGCCCTTGTAAATATAATATGTACGAAAAACATTAAATATCAATCCAGATAATTTTCTCGTTAGCAGTAATAGCATAGCATCTTCTTTTATAGACAAATTGAGATATTATTTTTATAGGTGTAATGCATATGAGTATGCATCCACCATATGATCGTGAATTACGTCAATTATTAATTCAATCATGTGCTGAAACACCTAATGTTGGATATAAAGATAAATCAACTGTTATTGTTATTGAAGGACCAAATTTTTCAACTTATGCTGAAAATAAAGTTTTTATTAGTTGGGGTTGTAGAAGAATTAGAATGAGAGAAAAA